AAAAAAAAAATTTATGAAAATGATAAAACATAAAAATAGAAGTCTGAGATTTAAAAAAAAAAGTGTATAAAAAAACTCCCATAAAACCTGTCGACATTGTTTCTTATTCTACAAAATAGCACCAGTAAGAAGAGTAAAAGGTGTTAAAAACCATTACGACAGCATTTCTGAAATGCAGCTTGTCCGACCTCCCGATATTCCTAACAACGATTTATCATGGAATAAAAAAGGACTTTAAAATCTCTGGAGGGTCGAGCTTTTATTGCAGTTTTCCCCCTGCAATCTCTTAGATGAGGGGAAAGTGCGAGGAATGTGCTTCTGCCCCTGGCTGTCACTGCTTCCAAGTTTAGAGAAAGGATGAGGAATTAGGGTGTCATACTTTTAATCTGGGGATCTGTGCCTATGAAGTCTGACGGGTATGTTTGGGGGAGGGGGGTGTCTTTCTAAGTGTCCCCCTTCATTTCCCTCACATGGGGAAGAGGGAGACAGCAAGAAGCCATATCTACCTCCATAATATATGGCTGCTTATAACCCAGCCCACCCCCTTCCTGAGCTTCCCCGGAGGGTTCTATTGCAGTCACTGGGAGAGATTTAGCTAAGGGTGGCCCTGCCCTTGGGTTTGTAGGAAAAGAAAGCCCTGAATGTGATGATGATGTCATCCCTGCTGAAATCATCATCGGTGTGGAAAATACTCTGAATGGGCCGACAGCGCATCCCAGCCCTGCATCCCAGCCCTTCGTACTGAGGCCAGGGGAATGTGCGTGGTAAAATTCAAGATATAGATAGTCCCTCTTTTGCTAGCCCTAGAAAAAATTATCCTTGGGCCCTCAAAATGTCCCTTAGCTACATGTCTACCACTGCGCACTCCTGGAAACAAGGAGCTGCAGATGTTTAAAAAAATTAAAGTCTTGCGATAACTGTCTCGGGTGATTTTTCGGCATTAACCTGAGTAATTGGAGAGCTGTCGGCACTGTGGTTTTGGTATCTTAGCCATTGTTTCTCTGAGCGGTAAACCCAGGAGGGGAAAAAAAAAAAGCCATCTTTACTATCTACTTCAAGTTTTAAAGTTTTAGGAGAAGATAAAATGAGCACCATATTTGGCTGCTCCGAGCAGCCAGGCTGAATTGTGCACAAGGAGGTGGCACCTCGGGCTCCCCCTGCCAGGAGGGGGTCAGGTGGCTCTGCTCCCACCGAGGTACATGGGGTGACCCCACACAGCTGAGCTGAGGAAGGACAGAGCCTGGGATGTACCTCCTGGGTCCCAGCTCTGTCCTCCACACCCCAGTGCCCAAGCCGCCTGGGGGACTATTCACAGGCAAAGTAGTCCTTCAGGGGGGCGAAGAGGTGTCGGATGACAGGCACACTCCAGGACCTCCCGAGCAGCTTCTGGCGGGCACCACGGCCCATGTTGGACACATCCGTGTAGTGTACGGGAAAGCCGAAGATCCTGGGGGGCACCAGAGTAAAAAGACAGGGAGTCAGAAGTGCCACCTCCAGCGTGCTTAGTGCCTCTGGGAGTTCCTCACCATGGGCAATGCGACATCGCTCTCTGTGCACTTTGCCCTATCCCTTCCATCAGGCCCACTGAGCCTTCACATGAGCCCTCTCTTGACCCCCAAGGTCAGGTCAACCAGTTCTTCAGAACACAAATGACAGTCATGAGGGTATGGCTCCTCCATGAGGTCCCCTGTTATGTGCATCCCCAGCATTAGCAATGTGCTTGGGCACATAGTTGGTGCTCAGTGGACCATTCTTGAATGAATGAACGAATAAATGAATCCCAAGAGAGACAGTCAGAGGACAGATGTGTATCTGTCTTCAAACCACAAGATGAAAGAAATTAGGCAATTTCCTTAATAAGGAATAAGGACTCTCAAAAACGAACCTTATTCTCAATCATCAGATGCTCAGGTAATTTACTGTGAGGACACTGAAGTATTCTGAATTCTGCAAACTCGGTTGCTGGACCAAGGGCCAAGCTAGACTTAATGTCAGATGGCAACCAAATATACCATGCCTCCTCTGTAGGATTTTACCAGGCATAGAGGCCTGGTAAGAGGCTACAGATACACCAGACCTCATTCTTACCCAGGTTTACCAACTACCACTAAAAATTGTATCAATGGGTCAATGACTGAATGGGTGTTAGAAAATATGCCAAAGATGCAACACCTCTGGCCTCTGTCTTAACTTGTCTACATAATAACAGCTATCTGCACCAACCCTCATATCGCCGGTCCAGCCCAGTGAGTTAGGCTTGTGTCTCAAAATACAGTCAACCCATGAACAACGCAGGGGGTTATGGGCACTGAGCCCCCATGTAGCTGAAAATCCAAATATAACTCTTGACTCCCCAAAACATAATTACTAATAGATTACTCTTGACCAGAAGGCTTACCTGAACCTTTAATTTGTGTATATTTTATGGTAATAATGATAAAATAAGACTGGTATCTTATTTTGTTTTATTCATTTATGGAATACGTAACTTTTTCAAAATTTTTTTGATATTTCTAAGCTACACGGTTCATCCGTGAGTTTTTTCAAATTGTCGCAAATCTCTGGAAATTTTGCCAATATATTTATTGAAAAAAAAAAAAAAAACACGTAGAAGTAACCCATGCAGTTCAAACCTGACAGAATAATCCACAGCACAGATGGGCAAGGTTACCCATCAGTTTCCTTCTACTAACCAGAACCTACTTTTATACTAAGAAAGCTATTGCTTAGTAAAGAATAAAACTGGTTGTAAAACTGAAATATCTGGAATAAAGATACTTTTTTATCAAATCCTTCAAGACACAGCCAAAAATGTAAAGTGGGATAGTCACGGCCCTTCTTACATTTCTAATAAAAAATTATCGACAAAATAAACATGAAAAACAAAGGGAATGAGAAAAAAATTGAAACCAGAATAGGAGAATTGAAATGGAAGAGCTGGTTCTTTGAATCAAAATAGACAGGCTACCAACTTAGCCAAACAAATGAAAGAGGGAGGAGGCAGATTGTGCTTAAGTATGAATCAGCTATAGAAGAGCAACTTGGCAGAAGGAACCTTCCGAGAAAGAGCAATGGCATGTCAATGGGGTTTTCTTTAGCTGGTTCCTCTTACATCCTAGTGTCTCGGCAAGTTGGGGCAGGCAGATACCAGGGCAGTGCAGCCAACACAGACAGTTGGTGCTGTCTAATAACCTCATGTTTCAGATTCCTTATCACCACCACCCTTCCGCCATTTCTGCCAGGCAATACGGACTAACTCTGAAAAGGCATTACCCCCAGCCCCACTAACATAGAAGGTCTGTGGGTCCATGTAGAACGAGGGCAAGCAAGCCCACTTGCACTGCTGGCCTGAACCACACGTTCCCCTTTCTGTCTGTATTGTTTCCCTCTCCACATGCAGCCTCGCTCACCTTTCTAGCTCAGTGCACCACAAAACATCTTCTTTGCCATTCATGACAACAGGGAAAAGTTGGTTTTTCCCCTGTCTGATCGAGTTCGACTTGGTGGTTATTGTCTGTACTTTCTTTAACTGGAGAACAAAATGACATCATGGAGTGAGCACAGAATGAAGGGTTCTGGGTAGAGTCAAGGCTCAGAAGCACCTGGGGAAGGTGGAGGAGGGAGGGCAGGCGGAGGAGGGCAGGTGGCAGGGCTGGGCTCTGAGAGGGAATAAGGAGAGAGGGAATAAGGAGAGTCAGAAGGATAAGAACATTTTGTGCTTCCCATAAACACCAAGGAGTTAATGAACAAGAAAGACCAGCCTCAGAGAGAACAAGAGATAAACAAAAAAGTGACAATGAATGAGAACACATGGGTGCCAAGAGAACACCAGAGTTACTGATCAAGCAATATGAAGCAAAATGTAAAAATCCATCCAGATTATAAAGAATGGTCAACCAAACCAGGATTTTGATGGTGTTTAGCTCAATATAAACATTAAGAATTAAGTTTATGTATGGAAATCTTAATGTAACTATCTATAACTTGTCAGCAGATTTTCTTTTTCCTACCAAAGAATTAATTACTCATCTCTTACTGGGAGGACCAACTGAAATTATGTTTTTCTCTATGGTGGGTACGTTCACAATTGGAAAGTCTAGCTGCCTTGTCTCATAGTGATTATTTGTTTGTCAAGAACCTCTCCTACTCTGTACCTGACTGGACAGAACAATAATGTGGGGAAAGAGGCCCAGCACCAGGGAGTCACGTGGGGGAAGGGACAGGAACAAACTGGACACCAAGGTCAAGTCTCAGCTTTGGACGTCACCAAGTGCTTTTCCCGCAGACCGTTTGTGAGCACATCTTACCTTTGCTGTCCTATTGAATTCCAAGCAGTCCTGCAGCTCGAGTTTATCATTCTTTGATGCTATCACGGGCCTGGGAACAGCCAAAACCCATTACTTTCTACCATGTGTCAAGAGGCCTTGGCTAGGCACCTCCCAAGGTGGGAGTGAGGGCCTAAGGCTGCAAAATGTGCTCTTGCAAAGGACTTGCTACAAATACATGATAAAAATGTTACTGGCATGAACCAGTGTGCCAAAGCCAGGGACAGACTAGCCCCTTCAGGGGGCAGCCCAATGTCCAGTAATGAATGCTCCCCCTTCCCAAATTTTAACATTAGTTAAAGACAGGCTCCCACTGAGGAGAACACGGAATAAGGGAAGCGCACTGGAAGAGAAGTCAGGAGACCCTCCAGTCCCAGTCCCACTGCTAACTGGCTCAGTGATGTGACCTTGAGCAAATCATATGATCTCCCTGGGGCTTCGTGTCTCAGGAGCGTGGATTAGATTTTTGTGGGTCTACCTGCTACAATGAGCACATCAAACCCATGATTTGGTAGCTTACGCCTGGGGATGGAGCCTCTCTGGAGGCTTTAAGGACTAAAAGTGGGTGCTAGTGGGAAGGACAGAAGGTGGCTCACAAAACTCTAATTATCATTGTAATTTTCATCATTGAAACCTGCAAATGCAGAGAGAAGCAAACAGGTGCCCAGAAGGGGAATAGAACCTTAGAACCAAAATGTTTGAGCAATTCCAGAGCAGAAAGCAGCAAGAGCTCTGAATGCACAGAGCTGATCAACACCTCAGCAGTTCCTGTGTAAGGACCTTCAAGGTCACAAAGAAACCAAACATAAGAACGAAAAAGGGGGCCATTGAAACACGCAAAACGTACTCCTAGATTCCATAGGACTCTTGATTTCACCTTCTAAGTTTCCCAGTGCCACCCTATCCCCAATTCTAGCTCTTCCATGAAACCAAGGGAGCTGAGGGACCTGGGGGAAAGTACACAGAACAGCCCTCACCTTATGTTGATTCTAGGACTGACATCTAAACAAAGGTTTTTCGCCTACAGGCTAGACTTGGTTCTGTGACCCCTGACTGTTGTTTGAGTCATCATTCTAGAACTCTGCAGAGCCAGCTCTGTTCTTGTCACAACTCAGGCAAAAAACTCTGTGGCATCTTTGCTGACTCATTTGTCATCTAATACCACCTATCCAATGCATCAGCAAATCCTATAAATCCTAATCCCCTCACATTATCTAGAATCTGACCCCTCTCACTAGGTTCCACAAGACCGTGGAGTTACAAGCCACTAGGGTGCATTGTATGTAGGGAACGGAACCTCCTGGGGCACCACAATAAGCAGCTAGCCCTCCTTCTCTGAATGACCATCTGAATTTCTCCCCATTTTTGCCCTCATCCCGATATCGTCTATTCTACCAGAAACTACCATGAATATATGACAACTCATCAGCTTAAAACCTCCTGTGAATTCCTGTGCCAAAGTAAATCTAAGTGGTACCATGACCTGCAGGACCCACATATAATTTGGCTCATACTTCTTTGTTAGTTCTCTGCCATTCTTTCAGCCACTCCACAAGCAAGGAACACTGTTTTCTGAAATGGTCAGGGAACGCCCAGACACCCTTGTCACCCTCCTTTATCCTCTTCCTTTTGCCTGGAATGCTCTTCTCTCAAATAACTATAAGGCTCCACCCCTTTATTCAAGGCCCTGCTGTAATAGGAAGCCTTCCTCTCCCCTCCCTATTAACTCTTCCAATGGCCCACTCTAGCCATGACCATGAGGTCATTTACTGTCTCCTCTACTGGTTCCCCCCTTGGCATGTCAACTCCATGAGAGCTAAGATGGACATCTGATATGTTCCCAACTAAACTGGCAGCACATACTACAGTGCCTGCCACAGAGAGCTTGAGTATCGAGTCAATGAGCCCGTTTCACTCCAGACATGGACATTGTACCACCTGACTGACTGATAAAGCCAAATAAATATGCACGATACCCAAAAGAAATCCTTCAAGTTACTCCAGCACCCTTCTCACCTGCCCACATTTTGTTAAATGCCAAAGAGCTACTATGCTTCCAACAATTCCTTCTAAAAGATAGCTCTTTTAAAGCTTAACTCATTTGCAAATCTGGGATGTCCCATTACCATCACATTTTGAATCGTAAGTAGCATACCACAAAACCCTGAAACCACATACAGAAGATAATTCATCTTCGGCAACTTGCTTTGTGGTTTTCAACAGCAACGGACTAGTGAAAAGTTGGGAAAAATCTCTTGGTTAAGAAAATCCAAGGGAGATAGGCTTTGGGCTACCAATTGTCATCTCAGCTCTGCCAACTGGTTGATCACCAGGACTGTTCAGGCGTCACTTCATCTCAGGGTTAGAGAGAAAGGTGAATCTAACAATCTCTTTCTGTTTCCCAGTGGGACAGGCAACTGGGAGAAGACATGGAATATAGAGCATCAGCATTCCTGGCTGGGAGACAGTACCCTGTCTGCTCCAGTACACAGCCCTGTAAGAACCAGGCCCATGGGCAGAGCAGGAACAAGTTGGAGTAGACTGAGGAATCCTGGCCAGAGACCCCAGGTAGTTGCTGTATGTCCTAATAGGTGTCAAGCCATAGCACCAGGGGTTGGACTGAAGCACGGGGTGGGGCCATTTCTCAGCAGAGCTAGCCCCTTCAAGAAGACTTGAGCATGGCTCTGTCTCACAAGAGTTGAGGATCAGGGCTCACACCATTAGCTGAATTTCACTTGGCCATTACCTGTCCCTCTTGGAGCCCCTTGTTACCTGTTCATCCCAGGCAGGTTACCCCAGAAGTATCGGGCCCTGTGAGCAGCAGACACTTTGATGGCATCAATCATCACTGGATTACACTGCAGGGAGAGAGGAGGACAGCTGCTGGGAGCCCATGAAAGAATTCAGGTGGCAGTCAGAGTGGGGCTTGACCTGGGCAGGTAACAGGACTACTTCCTGGCTGTGAAGGAGGCATGATTACTGCCAGCCAGGGGACAGACCAATTTGGCTAGAGGACAAAGCTAGTGCCCCCATTATTAATGGTGGGGAAAGAGATCAGATTGGACCTATAGGTTCTAAGAAGGTATACCCTGGGGCACACCAGATTATTACGAAATGTGCTCTGTATAGGCAATAAAAGAAATTTGAAACCAAAATCTAGCAAGTTGAGCTCTGGTGTGAAAATGAAATGTTGGCAAGATATGCCCTGTGTCACCCATCTGCCAGGTTCACAAACATTGAGGGAACTAACCAGCCAGTTCTATATAACCCCTCTAGCAGAACTTAAGCTATAAAGTTTTGGGGAAAATTAAATGGGTTAAGTGTATAAAAAGTATTTACTACAATGCTTGATGCATATTAAGCAGTAGATAATTAACATGTCTGTGGTCCCTAAAGCAGTTCTCATAACAAGGAGAAAAAACTCTCTAGAGTAAAAAAAAGCTTGCTTAGTCAAATCTCATGAGGCCTCTAAAAGTAGATGATGGTGTCTCATCATCTCTGACTTCAGTAGGTTTGTGGTGAGGTTAGAGATCAAATATTTTTCATGCACGAAAGAGAACCACTTGACTTCATTACTCTCAGATCTAGCCTCGTCTGTGAAGAACCCGGAAATCGCTCCCAGTGTTGCAAATACCCACCAACCCCCACTGCCAGTGGGGCCTTCCCCACCCATGTTGTCTTGACAATCAGAACCCTAAGTCCCCTTACCTCCAAGAACCGAGAGATGTCCCTCTTGTCACCGACCTTCATGGCTACCACATTCTCAAACATCCAGAAGAAGGGCCGGTCGTCACCCTCCTTGGGGCGTGAGTAATTCAGCAGGTGGTAGAACTCGAAGAAGAGCCGGCCTGTGCCCTCTGAGTCCACAAAAGAAGATGGATGGCCGGGGTCAAACCCTTCAGCCCACCCCACCATATTGAAACCAATGGGCTTCCAGTGATCACCTAAGGCTGATGCTCTACAGTCCCTCTGTCGGTAGTGGTCTGGACTAAGGACCCGGACATCAAGCAGTGCGATATTTTTAAGTACCTCTGGGGACTGAGGATTCACAATGGACAGAGCCAACAGGTAAGGCTAGCTGACCGAAAGCAAACAGCTCCTTCTCAGGCCACTCCTCCTAGACCGGCACTCAGATGACATACGGTCTCTCTTGGAATCACCAGAATAGAAGGGATGGATGCTCACCATACAGGCCTTTCCTGGCAGGATTCACATTTGAGAGATCATTGCATGGGCTTCCACCAATCACCAAGTCAAAGGGGCCCCATTCTTCAATCTGTGAGAGAAAAAGTCACTCTCAGGGTAGGGACAGCCGTGAAGATGGAGGGACTGACAGCCTGTGTTCCAGGTAACTGTCAAGAAAACCTGCCTGGGTCTACGGCCATGCCACCCTAAACATGCCTGATCTCATCTGATCTCGGAAGCTAAGCAGGGTCGGGCCTGGTTAGTACTTGGATGGGAGACCACCTAGGAAGACCAGGTGCTACAAGCGTGAAAAAAAAGAAAGAAAGAAAATCTGCCTGATGTGATCCCAGGTTCTCTTCTCCCACAGCCCTGGGCATGGGAAACAACACGGCTGTGAGGATGTGTGGGGCTTAGGGAGTGGGGGGAGGTGCCAAGCCCCCAGGGGTGCAGGCCGCCCTCACATTTTTCTTTGTGATGTTCCTGACGTCATTCACATATTTGATATTGCCCTCGTGCTTAACCGTTCCAACCGCAATGGACTCTTCACACACTTCGGAAGCGACATACTTCTCCACTTTGATGCCCAATTCTTTGAGAACCAAGTACCCTGTATGGGGGGCGGGGGAAGGGTCAGAGAGATAAAAAAATGCATCGAGGGTCATCCTGCCCAAGCCCCTCTACCCTCTAGTGATTCTATGTCCTGAACTTGGACCAGACCCAGCAAGGACATGGCAGCTCTCAAGTGAACCTCTGCACATAGCACAAAAACTGCACACTGGTCAAGCTAGGATCTCCAGTGTGGAGTTTTGTGAACAAAATATGTTTATATCAACTTGTATAGCCCACTAGTGGGATCTATTAAAACTGATAGTTCCACAGCCAATGCCCCAGCATCTACCACCTCAGCAGAGTCAAACACAGACACACAAACAGGGATCTTCACCAAAACCATGTTTAGAAAATAACCTCAAGTTCTGGAGGCAATGGCCAAGGCTCCATCCCACCGTAGGTTACCTGTGCCAGCACGAATAGGACTTTAGGACTCAACAGAGTGGAGAAAACAAACAGCTAGCCATGACCTGGGGGTCATTAAAAGCTTCCAATGTTTTAGGCAGATGGACACTGGTATACAAACATAAGTACAAATGACACTAAGTGCACGGCAGCTCATTTACACTGCTTCCTACTCCAGTAAAATAAAGATATTCCTAATAACACACTGTAGGGCAATTTTGAGGATTAAATGAGTTTCATCAGGCAAAGCTCCCAAGAGTGACACACACGTTGGCTACACTTAGTTTTATACATAAAGAAACCTTGGGGAACAGGAGGGAAGAATGGAGATATTAGTAGGAGGAGTTGTCTATAATCTCCAATATATTTTATGCTTATGAAATAAAAAATAATTTTCCAAGCTACCTGCACATAAAAAAGAATGCAATGCAACAGCTGAAATATACGTGCCTTTTAAAAGGACCAAAAGAGGGCCAGGAAGTTTGAGAGAAACAAGAAGCCAGTGGTTTTCTCAGAACAGGTGACAAAGAGGTAATTCCAGGGGTCTTGCTTGGCATTGTGGACAGACACCTGGAACAGGTGAGCATCCTGAGATGACCTCCAAACTCACCTGTGGCAATTCCATCAAACAGGGACAAGACTCGAATGGGCCGCCTTCGGGCTGCGGGAATCGCAGGGTATAACTTGGGGGCTTCCTGCCAGGTTAAAGGTTACAGAGATCAGGGAGGTCATGGAAGTCATGGAGGTTAAGGTTCAGGGGAAAGATTCAACTTCTGGGGGAGGGGTGGGCTGACCTTCCTCTGATGGACTCAGTCAAACCCTGCGTTTTACCATTTCTTAGCTAAGGATCACCTCAGCTTTGACATAAATGGCCATCCTACACTTAGACATGGAACACAGATGAGACTTTGAAAAAGATGCACACACACAAAGAGACACATCACCCTAAACAAGAAAGACCTGGGACCTTCCTCCCAGATCTCTAGAATGGAGCCTAGGAAAATCTACTCCCACTAAAATTTAAAAGTCAGTCACAGGCTTCCCTTCCCTCTTCCATTCTATTAACTCAGAAGACTTGGTTGGATCTATAACCATTTCTTCATCAAGCCCTTGAAAATCCATAAGAAAAAGCCTAGAAGGAAAGGAAGAAAGACCACTGGAGAAGCCTGAGGACTGTAAATGGGACATGTCAGCGGGTCACTCAAGCTGAGGCGCTTAGTTGCCTATTTGTATAATGGGTCTTTCCATGAACGCTTGCCAACAGACTTCCAGAGCGTTTCAGAGCCCTGACGCTCTGGGGTGGGAGGTGCTGGGCAAAGGAGCATGTGGCTTACATATTCGAGCCCCATGTCGCTGGTGAAGAAGGCCTGCAGGCGCACGTTCCAGTCCTTCCGGCGCCGCAGGACACCGTGACAGCGCTGTGGGAGGCACATGTAGCAGCTCCAGGGTTCCTGTAGCTTTGCATCTGCTGCTGTGCCTGTGCCCACCAGCACCTCCAGGCACTCCACGCAGAAGCACCTGCACCAGGAGCAAGGAGAAGAGATGCCTTAGTCACCAGGCGCCTCTCCAAGGTAGCATGCCCTTCTTCTCCAGGGAGATGGCAACACACTGCCTAACACCTCCTCGAAGTCCCGGCTGCTCCTCTTTATGAACCAGAGAAGTCCCGGCCGCTCCTCCTTATGAACCAGAAGGCCCTGGGGTGTGATTTGGGCTACACTAACCTCTTCCTTAGATACCTGTGCACCCTCAGTCCCCAGGCCCTGCACAGAAAAAAGCGTTCCAACCCCCAGAAGCAGCCAACCTCCAGGGAGTCTTCCCTACCCCACTCCCTGCCCTCAAGGCCCTCAGACATTCCTGCCTTAAGCGTATCCCTGTTCTACAGCAAGGACCTGAGAACCACAACCTCTGCAGAGTACTGAATCTGGGCTCTGTCCCCACGTCAAATTTGGCGCAAGTCCTGTGCCTGAGATCCCTTTGGGCTGTAGGAAATCTCGGGTACAACTTGGGAGGCTTGGACCCCCACTGGGTCTCAGCCGAGGGCCCGGTGCTCACCGGCAGCAGCTTGTGTTGCTACAGAGTAGCAGCTCACGGCCCTCACAGCACACGGTGCAGTAGGACTGATAGCCATCGTCGTCATACATGTAAAACAGCTCAAGGAACCGGTCCTGGCGGCCAGAGAGAAACGCCCGTGAAATCGGAGACCAGGGATCGCCGGGCCCCACTTGCTCGCTGGCTGAGGCCCTAGAGGACGCAGCCACAGAACAGGTTACCAGTGGCTTGGTGCCCTTTACAGAGACAACTGGCCGGGGTTCTGCATGCCACTGCAGATGGCCTCCTCTGCGGCAGCACCGGCTCTCGGAATGGAGGATGGGGCAGTTGGGGCTGGGGAGGGCTTCACTAGAATCTAATCTTCCCTAATGCCTACACGCTTTTCTCTAGAAAGACCAGGGAAGTCGTGGAGGGAAAGGACAAGAAAGTCCAGGCTGGGGATAGGACTTACCCGACACGTCTGGCAGAGCCCACCCTCAAAGAGAGGGTGGAAGGACACAGGGCTTTTCCTACCACAGGACAAACAGCTGTCTGTAAGAAAGACACGGACATAGCTTGTGGCATCTACGGCCCCAACACCAGCTGCCAAAGGCCCTGGGTGTAATCTTGAACATGTACTCCATACTAGCAATATACCAAGGACTCCTCTTGCTTTGTTCTTTTCAACAATGCTTCCAAGTTGCCATCCCCATTCCAGAGGTGGAGAAAGGCTAGTACATTGGCCCCAAGTAGAAGGTCCCGCAAGACAGGCAGTGGGAAGGCATGGGGCACAACGCTGAGCAAGGGCCCCTCCAGCCCAGGGACAGACTCGGAGGGCCTGGTGCAAAAATATTTGAGACCCTTTAAAGACTAGGACTTTGGGGGATTCATGGTGATGCCAATTTGCTTGTTGTCACATCATAAAAGGGCTTGTCCATGACCACTCTACACACAGCCACGGCTACAATTTCAGAACCCAGGTCTCTAACTATTAGGCTACCCTGACCTCCCTTTAGATCAGCAGGTCAGGACTGATTCACACAACTGACCAGGTGGGAAGAGCCTTTAAAATGCCATCCCCAGCCAGGAATCAGGCAGATGGGTGAAAGAGTCTTGGGAGATGAGAGGATTATGGGTCAAGGTCCCCAGGATCATCAGAGGCTGCTCCAAACCCAAGCTCTCCCCAGAGTTCTCTGGGTCAGGAACTGTGTCGTTTTTATACTCAACACTGAGTAACGACTCAGTAAATATTTGTTGACCAAAGAACCAAGCTGAGGAAGCAAGGGAGAGTCGATCCTTCCTCGCACATTCTGAATCCCATTAGCCATGTTCTGGGCAGAGTTTAGAGTCCAGTGGGAATTCCCAGCCAGGGTAAACCAGAGTTTGCTTGTGCGAGTGACAGCGGCAAAGTGTGTCTGCCTTTCACCTCAAAGCCAGTTCCAGTTCCTGTTTGGGAAGGCTCATGATGCCATAGGCCGATCAATCATGGTTTCAGGTTTTGGGTTCTCCTAGCCAAAGGGTCCTAGCTTCCACTCTGCCCCCGACCCCGCCTTCCCTGCTCACTTAGATTAGGGGTAGACTCTGTCTCTGCAAAAATCAGGCAACTCATTTTACAGAATGTAACTATGATGACATCTACACCTCCAAGGTCCAGGCACAGAGCTCTGGGTTAAACCTCAACAGGGTGGACAAACAGTAAAGACCTGGGGAATTAGCCAGGGCAAGAAGTGAGGACAGCAAAGGAGAGAGCATTACCTTCCAGATTACTCTTGTTATTGGTGACATCCAAAGCCATTTGCTCTGTTAAAAAAAGAAAAGGTGTGAGATGGGGTCAGGGAGCCTCTTACTGATCAATTAAGCCCAATTAAGCCATAGCCCTTTGCCTAGTGGTCCTTACTACCTGCCCTCTGCTGGTAACAGGTGATAATGGTCCCACAATCTCCTCACCCCCACCACAATCACCTCGACTCTGGTCCTCCTCTCCTCGGTCTTTGCCATTGTTATAGCAATTAGTCTTGAGGCGCTTGGGTGGAGGGCAGTAGTCGGTGGAAGTGGCCGAGTCATCAGCTGTACGTCTTCGAGTTTTGCTCTCTGTGAAAGGG